GCGCCGCGATTTTCCAGCGAACACACATGTTCTGCAAATCCACCGGCGGCTCTGGGCACGATGATAGCGATTCAGAGAAAGCTCCAACACATGCTCTCAAGATTTCAGGGTCCTTCATGGCGGTCTCGTCTGGCCCTGGTCCGGCAGGCGGCCGCGCCTGGCGTTTCATTGGCAACTCCATCCTTGCAACTCCCAAATTATGATCCGCGGCGAGCGCGGCTTCTCGACGACTCCTCAGCGTCGCTATCCGCGCTCTCAAAGACGCTTCGCAGAGCAACAAATCCAATGCGTTATACCTGTCCTCCGTGATCTCCCCCACCGGCAAAGATCCTGCTTCCGCGAACGCAACCGTCTCCTCCCATGGCCGTTGCGCGAACGCGCGGGCAACCTGTAGATCTCCAGCAGTGCAGAAAACCATCATCAGCTCCCGGCTCGGTCGCCGACTTCGCGCAGCGCGCATCGCCCCCATCCATGGTCCCCCAAGACAGCGCCCCCCCACCCCCCCAGCGTGGGCAACGCCGACTCGCGCATTGAAATCGCCAAGAACAATCCTCCCCACGTTAGCCTGACAACTTCGGCATGCTGAATCTAACGTCGCATAGAAATAGCGCCTCTCGGGGAGCGGACGGAGATTGCGGGGGGCGCACCCAGTAAGAATGGCAAATGCCCCCACTCCAATTTTCACTTTTAGCCATGCCAAACGGCCTGATATCGGCTTTCACGCTTTGGCCTGGCGTCAGAACCTCGGCGCAATGACGCAACCAACTCCAGCCCAAGTTCGCCCCTGTGTATCTTCGCCCGACAATACAAACATACACCCATCCACATGAAAAACTCCTGCCTTTGCACGGAGGGTCACATACACAGCAAAAGCATCAATAAGGCACCTTTGCACGTGGAGGATGAGTCATGTGCCCATCGTCTCTGCGAGGACCAGAACGTTCCACGTCGCCACTGCGACCGACAGCACACCTGGACACTGCGCAGGGCGAGGAGGAAGAAGGAGGAAGAGGCGGGCCCTGAAGAGAGCTGCGAGAAGCATTCCACATCTCCTGGACGATGTCCTCCGGCGCTGCCACGATGCCTCTCGGGTTTCAGCGACCACGCAAGCGTAGTCTGCCCCCCTCTGGGCCGGAGCCCGCATCTTGTTTGCCTGACTGGGCATCGCTATATATGAAGATGTCGTTTCCGAACCACCGCCCACACTTGCGCCTGTTGGCGCAGATAACACAACGGCCCCAATTGAACAAAGGGCAAGAGACGATGGGTGCTAGAAGGTATGTTTGCCCGTACTCGTGCAGCCACCGGCTGGGGGAACGGCATCTGTGTCCGCCTCCGAATCCGTGTCAATGTCTACATTGAAATACCTGGCGTCTGCACATAACGAACGGCTTCGACAGCCAGGCAAGCTGCGAAAATTAATAGTTGCCAAAAGCGAATGTTGGCGGACGGCTCCAGCACTGATTGCAGAAAAATGTGCCTCACAAGTCCTGCCCAGTGCCCGCCGCATTTCCTATTTACTGATGCCCCTACCAGCACCCTTCATCCCCTGACGGGAACAACGCACAATAGACTCGCACTTTTCAGTCAAAGCAAGTAACTTTGCATGCTTCCGCAGCTCTTCCCAATTCTTCCATTCCTCGCCCCATTCCAAGTGGAACGCCCCATCACGAACATGTACAGCTAGTGCCAGGTGACCGCCCACATGGACTTGGTATGGTGCGCAATCGTAGACGTCGGTGGTATACTCATTGTTCATGTCGTTTGTTAACGAGTATTCGACGCCAAATGCGAAATTGCGGGCGGCCCTTTCAACTGGCTCTCTGTCTTGAGACGCCAATATGGTGTTATCCCCTTGCTGCAGGCGCTTGCTCCGGATTAAAGCTAAGGCGGTGCCTCGTTCCTCCGCGCACCCAAATTCCACGAATCAAACACTTCGAGAATCGCCTTAAGCATACATCTTTCTGGGAATAGGGCCGCTCACGTTGGCGAGCTGCTCCCGAGTGAATGTTGCCGCGGCGACCTCGGTCTCAAAAGTTTCTAAATTGCCGATGACTCCCGTCAGCGCGCGTTTCCCGTGGACGTGGTAAGCATGTGCGGACTCTTTTGAAGTTGCTGACATCGACCTGGGCGTCATATTTGGAAGAATCCCCATTTGCTGTTCGATGTTCGCCACGCGTTCATTCATGGAGTTTTCCATCCTCGTCTCGCGCATCTGCATGTCTTTGATGTCGTTGGTGACTTTGGCGATGCCATTCTTCAGGGGATCTGTTGCAAGCGTCAGATCAGGTCGTGAAGCTCCATGTTGCTCGATTGCCTGAATCCTTATTGATTGGGCTTCCCCCTGCTGCCCCCTGCTGATTCCCCCTGCTCCAGCCATGTGTTGTTGAAATCGCTGTTGTAGCCCACTGGCGCTTTCGGCGTCGTCCAGCCCGTCCATCTCCTGCAAGCGGCTGTGGATCCTGCGCTGCTTGAACAACTTCTGGACGAGGGTGCTTGGCGCGCGCTTGTCGGAGGCAGCCTCCAGAGCGGAAGAATCGGTGTGGTATCGGAGTGCAGCGTAGAGACAAAGAATTGGACATATTGAGCCACGTAAACTACGCTGCGTCCGCTCTCCCTGGGCCACGATCCCTTGTAAACTACGCTGCGTCCGCGCTCCCAGGGCCAGGATCCCTCGCTAATTACGCTGAACTTGCGCTGCCAAGGCCGCGATCCGTCTTAAATTACGCTGCGTCTGCGCTCCCAGGGCCACGATCCCCTGTAAATTACTCTGCGTCCGCGCTCCCAAGGCCACGATCCATCGTGAACTACGCTGCGTCCGCGCTCCCAGGGCCACGAGCCCTCGAAAAAAAAGCTGCGTCTGCGCTCCCAAGGCCACGATCCCTCGTACATTACACGGCGTCCGCGCTCCCAGGGCCGCGCTCCATAGTAAATTACATGGCGTCCGCACTCCGAGGGCCACAGTCCCCAATAAGTTACGCGCCGCCCGCGCTCCCAGGGCCACGACCCATGGTAAATTACGCTGCGTCCTCGCTCCCAAAGCCGCGATCCCTCGTAAATTACATTGCGCCCGCACTCCCAAAGCCACGATCCCTTGTGAATTACACGGCGTCCGCACTCCCAGGGCCTGGATCCCTTGCAAAATACGCTGGACTTGCGCTCCCGAGGCCGCGATCCCTCTTAAATTACGCTGCGTCCGCGTTCCCTAGGCCACGATCACAAGCAAAGTACGCGGCATCCGCACTCCCAGGGCCACGATCCCTCGCACATTACGCGGCGTCCACGCTCCCAAATGCGCGATCCCGCGTAAATTACACTGGATTTGCGCTCCCAGAACCCCATGGGCATCCTGGAGCGCCTGGGCCCATCAAATTTTGCAAAACGAGCGTTTCGCTCGAGACATCTTGAAGTTCTGCGCGCAGGACGCGCCATTCCAATTCCGCGCCACCAAAACCGACGGATAAGCAGCCAGAGCTCCTGCCGCCAACCACTCTACCGAGCGCCAGCCCCAGCGCTGCAGCACATGATACCTGGCTCCACCACGGACGCATCGACAGGCTAATCATCCTTCTTGCGCAAAGAAACTCACGCAAATGATCCATCGCTAGTCGCGCCTCGATGCTTGGTGGCGCGCCCAAGGAGCAGCCCAGGCGTCCGCTACGCCGACCGTTCGCAAAGGTCCGGGGTAGCGCGGAGACGGCTGGAGGCAGTGCTTGCTGTACCACACATTCGAAACGACGACAAGCTAAAGCCACCGACCCGCACGGTCCAAGTAGCCCCAAAAATGTTATAAGCTCTCCCAAACTGCCGCGAGAGATTGCAAGAGGCCTTCAAGCGAGACGCCCAAGGATGCCTCGGCGAGGTGCTAAGGCGAAATCCATATTGAAACGCATTAAGGAAATTGATGCATGTTGCTTCCGATGCGTTTTTTCAGCTCCTGATCACCTCGGGAAAGCTTTAGAAAGTCCCAAGAAACCCCAAGACGGCCTAAAACGGCCACAGGAGCGCCCCGAAGACAGCCTGATACCTCCCCCCACGACTGCCCAAGAGACTCCAAGACGGCCTATAGATACGCCTAAATGTCCAAAAGATGGTTCAGCCGAGCCTTTTCGGCTGAGCCCGATCCTCGGGGGGCAGCTGGTGGCCCCATGCCCTCACGCTGCGGGGTTCAGGAAGAAGTGAATTCTCGAGAAACCTCTCAAAATTACCGCTGGCAAGATCCACTCCTGCAGCCCCGCCTGAAGGCAGCGGACGAGCGGGGCCAACGCACGAGGGGTACCGAGAAGTGGGGCCACGGTCGCCTCGTCGAGGCACCACGAGGGGCTCACCAGGCCGAAGCACGAGGGGCCACGGGCCACGGACCACCACGGGGAAGGCCAATGAGCCTGAGCGGTGGACGGCGAGGAGGCACGGCCCGCGGGCACGTGGTCGAGTATCAGGTGGCCTCGAGGGCAGCCACGAGGGCCGCATGGCCCCCAGCCACGGACTGCTGCAACCGTCTCCGAAATGCCCAGCCACCGGTTCGCCTACGCCGATCCTGACCGGGCCCGTCCCGCGGCCAGTATCGGTGCATACGCACTCCTGGCCTGGCCAGGCAGGCACCCAGCATCGGCCCGGCCAGGATCGGTGCAAGGTATGGACCGACGCCCTCCGATGTCGTACAACACTGGGCGGAGCCCTGCAACAATCGCTTGCTGGGCCTCTTGCAGCAGCAGCAGCACCGTGGATCTTGGGTGGGACGCACATGGACATACTAATACTATATGTCCTCCTTGGAGGCGCGCGTCCGACCCGAACATATAGTATACCCATCTTGTAGTATATCGTTTCCCGAGCGGTGTGGCCAGAAAGCGCCCGCCACGACACATATACTATAAGATTTCTCGGTGCGCGCGTCGCCCCTGGGGGGCGACGCACATATAGTATAAGTATGTTGGGGTGTTGCCGATTGGGTGGACAGGCCGAGTCTTACAAGCCCGCGCTGGCCGGGGCGGGGCGTCCCGTCTCTCGGCGGGGCCAAGCAGAATGCGGGCGGCTCTCGCCATGGTGCCAGTGGCGCGGGCGGCTGCAGCGTGCCTGGCAATCGCGAGTGATGGGAAAGCACTGGGCGAGCAGCGGGAGGCAGGAAGGCGAGAGGTGGGGACGACGAGGAGCCAACGGCAACAGGAGAAGGCAGAGGCGGAAGGAGAGGGAGGAGGAAAGCGAGATGGTGGATACCTCCGGAGTGGCGAGTGTGAAATAGAGATAGGCAGGCGAAGCTGACGATGCAGGTTGACATCCTTGAGGGCTTTCTTGGCAGGACCATGGGTGCGAGGCCTCGCATGGCTGTACTGTGTTTCGCAAATCTGCGACCGAAACTGGCGGCAACTTCGACCACAATCTGTCCTTCCGCCGGCAACGGAAACCAGTCCCTCCAGCCGCATCCAATCGGTAAGCGTGCGCGAGGACCCGGAATCAACGGTTGGTTCCATGACGGTCCGACCAAAGCGACATCAGACAGGATCTAGTGACGAACAGATTCTCGCAGGCTTTACAAATCCCATTGCTGCCGGCGAACTATCATCTTCCAGTACTTGGATATCGTTCCACACTGCCATGTGCCAGCAGCCAGCACAAACCTCCTGGATGGGAAACAGCTGGAGCACTGTTCTCGGCACTGTTCTCACGGAGCCAACAGCAACTACTTCGGCGTGTCCGCGACGGCCGTGGACTCATCGCACACAAACGCGGATATTCGAATCCGCATTCACAGTGTCCCCAAGTGTCCGCAAACACGAGGTGGCAGCACGGCCCAACCAATGAAAGTGCGGGTGAAAATCATAAGACTGAAACCTGCGCTGGACACGTAGAGACACCACCCGTGCTTTGCCTCACACGGGGCATCAATCGACGGGCATCGTTCTCTTTGGCACTGTCTTCACCTCGGCGGCCACGCGCGCAGGGCCGCGGCGGTCTCTACAGTTGCGAAGTGCGTGGCAAGCGAAGAGGGAAAGAAAGACCAGGAAAGGCTGCCGCCAGACGACGGACGCGGCCAAAGGCGAGAGAGAAGACAGGGGCAGGCAACAATGGAAGAAAGGACGAAGCCAGGGCATGCAGGGGCGGGGCGAAGGCGAGGAAGGACGAGCTGGGCAAACGGAGGAGAAGGCAGGGGTAGTGCGAAGGGCGCAAATCGGGGCGAGCCAGGAGAACAGGAGCGGAGGGACAGCAGGACGGAGGCACACGGACGGGCCGCAGACGAGGGGAGGCAACTTCCCTGACACGCGCGCAAGACAGCAGAACAACTCAAACTGAGTTGTTCGATCGTGCGAGCCGCACAAGGCACATCAAACGCTCCTGCAAAATGACTCAATCCAAAGATATCGTGGCAGTGCTGGTGATGGCACGGGAATCAGAATTCGCCACACACGGCGATCTGGTCATAGATAACGCGCACAGGGACAATGTTTACAGAAACCAACGCGCACATCTCGCAGGTCTGAATCAATATCAGAAACAGGCAAGTCGACAAAAGCATGCACAGCCTCACGTACGGATAACACTGCTCTCACAGAACAATGCACACGGCAAGATTCCCAAGCACCTCCCGTATCATCAGGTACGCACGAATACCTGGACTTCCCTGCACGTTGATTCACTTGTGGGAATATCGGCTGCCTCGGGCAATGACCAACCCGAGGCGATCGCATCGGACACGGCGTGCCAGAACAAATGCCGGTTGGGAATGGAAAGCGCACCCGATCGACGCCCGATGCTTCCTGTACATTTCAGCGTTGCGCACGCTGGAAGACGTAATCATAAATTCAGTGCTTCTCTGAATGGCTCGCCCGTTAAATTTTCAGTCCGCTCCCAAGCAGGACCCTACTTCTCAATAATAGGCTTGCGCTTCGGACCCCAGCGCAAGCCATAGAAAACTGGTCCGCTACTCCACCCCCCAGTTTGCCCCAAACTACTACAATGCCGCACCCTGGTATTGCAATGGTTTCCTCTGTTGTTGCAATGGTTTCCTGTGGTTATTGCTGTGGTTTCCTGTGGATATTCCAATGGCGTCGCAACGCTGGCCCACCAATCGTCAAGCTCAGAAATAAATCGGAGTAGAACAGAGCAGTATGCAATACCAGAGGGGAGTAGAACAGAGCACCGTATCACACTGGAGAACATACTAGAGCATAGTAGGAGTAGAGTAGACTAGAGTAGCGAAAGACTAGAGCAAAGCTTCGCAGAGTAGAAGGGAGAAGAAAAAAAACATGATCGACCCACGAACCGGGAAAGAATATAGAAATGTAAGGCTAGGCGGCGTTTCAAAGACACCTGATTGGGAGACGGGCAAGTGCAATGCTGAGTGTATCGATCTTGATGTACCGTGCCGAGGGCTGTGCTGTGCTGCGCCGTTCTGAATTGCAATGCACCATGCCGCGGTTGTATTCTGTAGCGTTTTGGATCGAGTCCTCCTTTGCATCCGAGTCCTGACTGAACTGATCTGGATCTTAAGCTCGAGCTGCCTGAGCACATAGTAGCTGCCCCAGAGCTAATTGACAGAGGGACATGCTAATCAGGAGGACGCGCCGCGGAACGTCCCAAGGGACGCGCCAGGCGACGTGCCAAGGGACGTGCCATGGGTACGCACCGCGGGACGTGCCAAAGGGACGCGCTACGGAACGTGCCAATGGACGTGCCACGGGACGTGCCAAGGGACGCGCCGCGCAACGTGCCAGGGGGACTCGCCACGGGACGCTCCACGGAACGTGCCAAGAAACATGCCAAGGTGCAATGTTCAGTGTATCGATCTTGATGTACCGTGCCGAGGGCTGTGCTGTGCTGCGCCGTGCTGAATTGCGATGAGCCATGCCGCGATTGTGCTCTACAGTGTTGTGGATCGATTCCTCCTTTGCATCCGAGTCCTGACCGAACTGATCTGGATCTTAAGCTCGAGCTGCCTGAGCACATAGTAGCTGCCCCAGAGCTAATTGAAAGGGGGAGCATGCCAGGAGGACGCGCCGCAGAACGTCCCAAGGGACGCGCCAGGCGACGTGCCAAGGGACGTGCCACGGGGACGCACCGCGGGACGTGCCAAAGGGACGCGCTACGGAACGTGCCAATGGACGTGCCACGGGCCGTGCCAAGGGACGCGCCGCGCAACGTGCCAAGGAACTCGCCACGGGACGCGCCACCGAACGTGCCATCCGAGTCCTGACCGAACTAATCGTCAATTACGCTGCGTCCGCACCACCAGGGGGAGGATCCATCGTAAATCACACTTTGTCCGCCCCCCCAGGGCCATGAGCCCTCGGAAATAACACTGCGTCCGCTCTTCCTGGGCCACGATCCTTTGTAAATTACGCTGCGTCCGCTCTCCATGGGCCACGATCCCTCGTAAACGACGCTGGGTCCGCGCTCCCAGGGCCGCGCTCACTTGTGAATGACGCCAGCGTCCACGCTCCCAGGGCCGCGCTCCCTCGTGAATGACGCAGTGTCCACGCTCCCAGGGCCACGATCCCTAGTGAATTACGCTGGGTTCGCGCCTCCACAGCCAGGATCCCTCGTCAATTAGGCTGCCTCCGCGCTCCCAGGGCCAGGATCCTTCGCAAATTACGCGGCTCTGCGCTCCCAGGACCACGATCCTTCGTAAATAACGGTCCGACCGCACTCCCAGAACCACTTAGGCATCCTGGAGCGCCCAAGCCTTTCAAGCGTTGCAAAACAAGCGTTTCGCCCGAGACATCCTCAGAGATTCGGCACGCAGGGTGCGCCATCCTTGAGCGGGCACGCAAAAAGCCAGCCCTCCTTCTACAAAACAAGCGCGGGACTCGAGACATCCTCGAAATTCCTGCGCGCGGAACGCGCCATCCTCGAGCGGGTACCCAAAAAGTCAACTTTTCCAAAAGTTTTCGTGCCCCAGTCAGGGCTCCATACCTCGTTATTTAAAATGGATTCTACGCAAAACGCTCCGCACCCTCTTTTTTACAAAGGAAAGCGGGGGTCCGCGGACCCCATTAGGCATCGAGGATCCGAGATGGGGGGCGCACTGTCCTCGAGCGGGCACGTGCGAAACGCATGTTTCCCACGCCGAATGGGACTTCTCCTTGCTATTTATCGCATATAAATCCGCCGGCCCTCTTCAAGCATGGCACCGGGAGCAGATTGCCATCCTAAAAAAGAACCCTGAGCCTCAGCCCTTTCCATGAAAAATGCCCCGTGCACTCGCTGTCACAAGGGAAACGGGCGTCTGCTGACCCAGTAATTTATCGAGGACCCGAGATGGGAAGCGCACTGTCCTCGAGTGGGCACGCGCGAAAATATTTTTTCCACGCCGAAATTGACTTCACCTCGTTTTTCATCAAACGGAAATCCGCCGGCCCTCTTCAAAATTGGCCCCAGGGATTTACCACAATAAAAGAAAACCCTGGGGCCCCGCCCTTTCCAGAAAAAAACTCGCATGACATTACATTGCCTCCACGCACGTCGCGCTCACCGCCATTTCCCCCCCGCCGCGGCCCCGGCGACTCGAGGAGGGGGAGTGAGAAGAGATGGAGAAGCGCATGAGAGACGAGGCAGTAACGCACCACATAACTTCCCCCATGTTTGGGGCGCTAGGTTTTACACGGGCAGTGTTTTTGCTGCCGTTATTTCTTGGGGGAGGCGGTTGAGAGCCAGGTTCCCCCGACACCATACTGTTCACAGGCGTTGAGGAATCATCCTCATCAGGCGGCGTCATTGGCTGACCCAATTTTGGCCTGCTGTGCATACCGTTTCGCTTCGAGTGCCCATGCCTCTGCGTTGGGATGTGCGTAGCCGGCGGACCCCACCGGGGGTCGCACAGGACAAGGGAACGGGCGGGGCACAACGGCCCCCGCACCAAACTCGAGGGCGCCGCCCCCGAGCGGGGCGCCCACTGTGCGCCCCCACCCGGCTCTGTACAATTCCCCGCCAGACCTCTCACATCTCCGGTGCTACTGGCATCAATGCGGTCTGAAGTCGACCGGGGGGGTGGGATGGGCGAACGAAGGCACGCACTCGAGCCAAAATGGTTGCAGACGGAAGTGCTTTTCCCACCCGCACCACCCCAGCAAGTCAGTCGC